TCACTCACTCACTCACTCACTCACACACACACACACACACACACACACACACACACACACATCTGTTTTCCTGCTGTCTTCCAGACACACCAGACGAAGCATTAAGCTCCACAGACACAATCAACCAAAACGAGTCCGTCGGTTTAATTTGTGTAGTTTTGTTCTTAATCCACATGGTTTCAAAGCAGCTGCACAGAAATCCATAATGTTAATATTTCTAATATCTTAATGTCTCACAGTCACAGTTCAGAGCTGGACTTACATTTCGTTTCAGTTTACATTTATATAAACATCAACCAGATGAGATTTGCTATTAGTACATATGGCTTTGTGAGTATATGTATACAGCTAAATCTGGATATATAGATATAGCCATTGGATTTGTGCTGATATTGAGCATTATGAAAAAACATTTTGGTGTCACAACAAACTAATTATTACTGAATCACATTATTAAAATGATGCATATTAGTTTAAACGTTTGTTCCTCTAAGAAGTTTCATCAAGTCGTTAATTGTTTTAATACATAATATGCACACTTTAGTCTCAAATCAAATCCTAGTTGAGAAATCTGACCGAGAGGAACCCGAGAGAACCCTGAAACACGGGCCACACGTGTGTGCGTGTCTCGTCTCCACACGCGATCGTCCTGTAGGGAGACATCTGGAGTTCAGGAAACTCTGCAATCTGAATGCAATCAAACGGAGTTCCCTGAGAGTCAGCACACGCGGCCCATGACACAACTCTGCACGCTCCTCCAGATATTAGCAGCAAACGTGAAGCAAATGTGGATTTGGAGTTTGGGGGATTCCTCGCTGACCTCACAGCGCCTGAGATTCTCAGAAAACACAGAATTAATAACTAACATGAATCTGTGTGTGTGTGTGTGTGTTCTGCGCAGGCTGGGGTCTGTGCGGCCAAGGCTCAGCATCCCATCGCTGACATGGTGAAGATGTTGAGAGAGCAGGGCAAGACTGTGAGGTCAGATGCAAAAAAAAAGGCATATCTTACTTAATATTTTTGCCTTGTTTCCAGTCAAAATATCTAAAACGTTCTTAAATTAAGATGCATGCACTAGATAAGCTAGGGTGACCATATTTTAGTTCTCCAGAAAGAGGACAGAGGACTGTGTGCGCAATGACCATATCCCAAATCAAAACTCAAAATATGTCCTTTCCATACCTAAAATACATATTTTACGGTCACCGCTTTGCAGATTGATCATATATTTTTTTGTCTTGTTTCCAGCTAAGATATCTAAAAAATTCTTAAATCAAGAAGGATTTTCCAGACAAGTAAAAAATTATTGTCTTGTTTTCAGAAAAAAAAACTAAAAGTCAAAATTAAGTGAGTTTTTGCTTAGAACAAGCAAATGGGGTAACTAAAATAATATTTTTTTCTGTTTGAAATAGCACAAAAGCAGTGTTAAGTCGCTGGGGTATATTTGTAGCAATAGCCAACAATACATTGTATGGGTCAAAATTATACATTTTTCTTTTATGCCAAAAATCATTAGGATATTAAGTAAAGATCATGTTCCATGAAGATATTTTGTAAATGTCCTACCATAAATATATCAACACTTAATTTTTGATTAGTAATATGCATTGCTAAGAACTTCATTTGAACAACTTTAAAGATGATTTTCTCAATATTTAGATTTTTTTGCACCCTCAGATTCCAGATTTTCAAATAGTTGTATCTCAGCCAAATATTGTCCTATCCTCATATCAGAATCAGAATCAGAAAGAGCTTTATTGCCAAGTATGTTTGCACATACAAGGAATTTGTTATAGTGTCACAAGCTTCCAGTACACGGAGACAACAACAACACACAGATAATAAAAATGAGATGTGAATAAAATACACATGCATAAATATAAACCACAAAAAAAAATAAAAAAAATAAATAAAGAATAAATTGTATGTACAGGTGTGCTATAGATGGAATGGGAATAGAATAAAATAAAATAAGTTGTAGGGATGTACTAGGGTTTAGGGTGA